AAGGATACAGCAAACAGACCTGCTTTGACAACAATCATTCTGTCCTCCACTAATCAGGCCTTGGCAACAACTGTGAATGACACTGATAGAGCACTGGGACATTACTAATAAATATTGTGCTCTGCATGCCGCCTACTCAAAAATTCTACACACCAAAATTGACACAGAATCTATTAAATATACACATCAAAAATTTTAATTCAAAAAATGTATACTGTGATACACATTACTTGAATCCCTCAAGTGTAGAAGGTAGCACTTCAATTTTGACTGCCTTACATTTTAAATTATCACATGTCATCAGTATGTTTAGCACTGAAGAATGTAGCAGAAATATAACAGAGCCTGTCTTGTAGAGCTTGCCTAATGCTAATATCACAGACATATTTGCCAGCTTGTAACATCAAACATACTATTAAGATAATATAAGCCTAACGGATAAATTGTAGAATGGGTTCCAAATGTTTTACAGAGAGGAGAAAAAGATAAAAGAGAATTCAAGATGTGAAGAAAGATTCTATAAAATATGTTGTAATTAAACAAGCATTAAGGAATCTTGACTAAGTCTTAGCTATTCATTAAGCCAAAAAAGTCCCCTTAATATGGGCCTGTTTATGCTTTTCTTGCATATTTTTATTCATTGAAAAGATTTCTGAGCACATTCGTATATGGAGGATTGTAGAAAGCACTGGGAATACAACAATAGACCTAATATGCTCCTCTCACAGAAAGAGCCTACAGGATTTCCTGCTCCTGGTGTTGGTGGAGCGACTTGCTACAGAGCAAAATTTCCACAGGATTATCTGTAACCATTAGAAAAGTTGGAGAAAACAAAAATTGTATTCCTTCAAAGAGAGAGTAATTTGAGTATCCAAGATCCTGGAGAAAAGGGAGGTACATTATAGTACTTTTACCTCCAAGATATTTGTTAAGCTACAAGAAAGGTAGGATAAAGAGACCAGGAAGCAAAGCAGAAACAATGTCCAAAATTCTAACACCTGAGTTGAGTTTTGAACAGTCTAATGAGACTAAGGGGACAAAATCTGGAACTCAGAGGCCCCCAAGTCAGATAGCCCCTGATAAAAGGCCCAGGCCTCCAAAAAGGCTTTGAAAAGGCCAGACTTTAGGATTAAGGGCAAAGCTCTCATAGAAACCCAGTGTCGACCAGTTCAACCCAAGACCAGGTAAAGGTGATCTGCTTCTGCTCTAAGTGCAGAGTAAATTAATACTAAATCCTCTCTGAAGGAAGATAACATCAGGTAGAACTTCACAAATTATTTCTATGACTTTTCATATACAATATGTGGAATTTAATTTTTTAAGTTATTAAACAGGCTAGTAGAGAGAGTTAAATTCTCAGAAATCAAGAAAAAAAATTTTAAAAAGAAACAGACTCTAGATGATACAAACTTTGGAACTGGAGTTCTTACACAAGGATATTAAAAAAACTGTGATTAATGTTTTTAGAAAGTAATGGGAAAAAGGAGAAATTGACCAGAAATGGAAACCAATCGAAAATCCTGAACTGAAAAAGACAGTTACTAAAATTAAGAAATTTATAGACATTAAACAGGAGATGAGAGAATTAGAACTGGAAGTGAGATCAATTTAATACATCCAGACTAAAGAACAGAGAGAGGAAAACATGAAAAATAAAGAAAAGGTATATAAAAGATCTATCAGACAAATTACTGAAGACCTCAAAGGAGAGGAAATAGGCAAAGTTTTACATGATGCTGCCTCACAATATAACAAAAACACCACGTATCAATCCACAAACTTAAGAACTTCCATGAAATGCAAGCAGGATAAATATAAAACAAAACAAGCAAGGAAGCAAACAACAACGTAGTAAAACTGTTGAAAAATAAAGATGAGGGGCGCCTGGGTGGCGCAGTCGGTTAAGCGTCCGACTTCAGCCAGGTCACGATCTCGCGGTCCGTGAGTTCGAGCCCCGCATCAGGCTCTGGGCTGATGGCTCAGAGCCTGGAGCCTGTTTCCGATTCTGTGTCTCCCTCTCTCTCTGCTCCTCCCCCGTTCATGCTCGGTCTCTCTCTGTCCCAAAAATAAATAAACGTTGAAAAAAAAATTAAAAAAGATAATAATAAAGATGAAAAGAAAATTTTAAAGTAGCCACAGAAGATAAAAGATAAAAGAGTACAGCTTCTATAAGATAATATAGACTAATATATTCATGACCTTGGAATACGTGAAGATTTCTCAAGCAGGATGTACACACGTAGACAAATTAATCATCTTCATCAAAAACACGATTATGACAGCAGAAATCGCAGAAGATATAATCAACAAAGGATTGGATTCCAAATAATCTGAGAGCACTTCTAAATCAATAAGAAAAAGATAAACCCACGGAAAACTTGAAAAATCTTTAAAAAGGAGATGGGACACACGCAAATGACCATTAAAGATATGAAAAAGTATACAACCACATTAGTCATTAAAGAAATGCAACAAGATACCACTTCACAAATATGGATGGCTAAAATTGGAAAGATTGACAATAGTAAGACATGTCTATGACCAAGAGAAACCGAAGTTCTCACATATAGTTTATTGGAGCCAAATATGATACAACCACTTTGGAAAACTTCAGTAGTATCTTCTATAGCTATAAAATACATATCCTATGACCCAGACATTCTACTTTAATTTGATAGCTAAATGTTCATTAAAAACTATACATGTATAATCACAGAAGCATTAGTTACAATATTCAAAACTAAGAACAACCCAAATATCCATGTAGAAGAGAACAAATCGCTAATTTTGCTATATACATACAACAGAAGGGTTAGATTTACCAAAAGTTCAAATGCCTGAATGGAGATTATTTGTGGAGAGGAGTAGTGGGTAGTGACTGTGAACGGGGGGCACACAAGGGGCTCCCAGGGACTGATAACTGGGTTTTTTTTCTTAACATGGGTAGTAGCAATTTAAGTGTGCTCACTGTGAAAATTTATTGAGTTGTATAATACGATCTGCGTACTTACTTTAAACAATTCTATGGGGCGCCTGGGTGGCTCAGTCAGTTACGCATCCGATTTCAGCTCAGGGTGTGATCTCGCGGTCGGTGAATTCGAGCCCCGCGTCGGGCTCTGTGCTGACAGCGCAGGGCCCGGAACCTGTTTCAGATTCTGTGTCTCCCTCTCTCTCTCTCTGACCCTCCCCCATTCATGCTCTGTCTCTCTGTCTCAAAAATAAATAAACGTTAAAAAATTTTTTTAAAAAAACCACACAATTATATGCCCAGTACAATGTTAATTAAAGGAAACAAATATCTATTGATTTAATTTGTGGATTTCATTTGCCACACACACAGTACATCCAAAGAATAAAGGAGATCCTGACACAGAAATAAAATATAAAAAAAAAAAAAAAAAAAAAAAAAAACCCAATTCATCCTCACAGGTGCGAGAGGTTTGAGTAAAGAGTCAGGCCCTGATGCCTGTGCCAGAATCACCACACCCTTGGCACAGCTGTGTGTACCCATGTGCCATGCTGGTTTTATAAAAGAACACTTTGATAACTTTCTAAGACTGTAGACCTAAACACAAAGTTCTGTTTCTAAGATAACATCCTGTACCATACCTTATGTTTGACTTTGGCTGCCGAACTGGAACAGTCATTGCCTCTGTTATTTTTAAATAGAGGGCTTTTCAGTGCTGCATTTATGAGTTTCTCATTTTTTAAGTGGATAAACCTGGCCAACGCCACAACCCTAAATACTTTTACTAGAACAAGTACCAGCCACTGCAGACACGTCCTTCATAGAGAAAAACCTGGCTTCTCGATAACTTTGGTCTGGCCAACAGACATCCCTCCAGGTTTACAGTGAAAGATCAGAGTTCTCTGACAACAGCGTGAGGAATATTTCCCATCCAGGAATGAGTGGATCCTGTTGGGAGTTTGCAGGTCTGGCAAGACACCGTGTGGACGAGGCCAAACCAAACATCGAGTGGAAAAGTCCACTCAGACAGTATTCTGCGGGCCCAGGCCCCCTGCGGCCAGTCCACATGTGCAACTGACTGTAGTTAGGAATGAAGCGGCAGCCAAACAGTGCTGCACATACTGGACAGAGCATGTGCCTCTGCCAGGTGGAGGCAGGATGACAGGACCACTGGGACACTGTCCCAGGTCTAATCAGAAAAATACGCTCTGGGTTTTTCCAGGACCTCGTGATGCCAGAGATATTTTGATCATGGAGTTGGGGAGATATTTTGAGCATAAATGGCTTTCGTGACCCATATGTCTAAATATTTTCCCTTTTATGCTAGGAGAGAATAAGCCTCGGTTCATAGCTCCACAAAGTGACAAAAAAAATGAAAGAAAACTTTGCCTAAAGCATGTATCCTACCAAATTCTGCCCTCTCCCTCAAACTTCTTACTCCTCAACTGCAAATTCACTAGTTAGGAACAGTGTTGGTATACATTTTGCACAGTGACAAGTACACTTTCATACTCAAAACTATCAAATACTTATTCATATAATCTACTTTTGTTCATTTATTTTTAAATACTTTTAAAGGTGCTTATGTAAAAGCACTTCTTGAAATTGTGCCCCCAATAAGAAAGCTTTCATAAAGAACAAATTGATTCATCATATCTAACCTTACACTCGCCACAACTTCCACATTACTTCTCTCCATTGCTATGAATAATTGAGAGTTATCTCTGTATCTGCTTTAAAAGTATGTGGCATTTAGGGTATCTGGGTGGTTCAGACCATTAAGCATCCAACTTCAGCTCAAGTCATGATCTAACAGTTCGTGGGTTCCAGCCCCTCAACAGGCTCTGTGCTGACAGCTCAGAGCCTGGAGGCTGCTTCAGATTCTGTGTCTCCCTCTCTCTCTGCCCCTCCCCCGCTCATGCTCTGTCTTTTTCTCTCTCAAAAATAAACAAACATTAAAACATTTTTAAAATAAATAAATAAATAAATAAATAAATAAATAAATAAATAAATAAAAGTATGTGACATTTACCCGTTATGTCTGACACTGGAAAGCATGATGATGCACGTATGTCACAAACGCAGAGTAAGATATTCTCTTCAGAAGGCTAGGAAATCATCTTACTTGCAGTATATTGTAGTAGACTTCACAAAGCAGTTGAAGATGTCACAAGATTCCTAAATGTGGAAAGAAAAATTAACTTTCAAATTCTGTGTACTTCAAAGATTGTACAGATATGTAAAATAGATTAGCTATATCACATGCACTAATATTTCTAACAATAATGACTAACAATAGCTATTAACATCCAATTTCCAAAATAAATATACATATGTACTTATATATACATATACATTTCCTGACATATGATTTTACATTTTATTTACATCTCAAAGAATAAGGGAAGAACCAAAAATTACCATGACCTGTTAACTCCAACAAAGGTCAGTTACTGCCTGCTGTACTTTTTCTGCTTCCTCGGAATTATACATCACCTCATGTGGCAACCCTATTTTTTTAACCATCTCAGTAAAAATTCAAAGATCCTAAGTCTTCTCACATGTGGCAAAGAAGGGTAAATGACTGCTCCCCAGGTCAATTGACTTGCCAAGGAGTTAAGATCTCCCCTAGTATGCATTTTCCAATAGCAAAAGTTTTCGGAGGAAAAAGAGATAGGTTATTTTGTTCAAGTCAGAACATTTTTTTTTTAATTTTTTTTTTAACGTTTATTTATTTTTTTGGGACAGAGAGAGACAGAGCATGAACGGGGGAGGGGCAGAGAGAGAGGGAGACACAGAATCAGAAACAGACTCCAGGCTCTGAGCCATCAGCCCAGAGCCCGACGCGGGGCTCGAACTCACGGACCGCGAGATCGTGACCTGGCTGAAGTCGGACGCTTAACCGACTGCGCCACCCAGGCGCCCCCAAGTCAGAACATTTTTGACTGAAATATTTTTATCTTTTTCTTTTAAATAATGTCTACAATTTCTATATAATTGTAAATTATAATTTACAAAGTGCTGCCCTATGTAATTTTGTTTCATTCTCACCAGAACAAGTGTTTAGACTACTATTTTGTAGATCCAGAAACTGAAGCCAGAACCTGAATCTATGCCCCTAGCCCCCAGCACAAAGCTTTTTCCTCTTGACCACACTTCTCTGAATATGTGAAAGTCAGAAATGAGGCTGCTTAGAACTCTCTTCTCTTGGGTGAGAACCATAAAGAAGATTCATGACTTGAAGAATAATACTCTTGGAACCTGAGAAGACACTTCACAATTCTGACTTGATCTGTGAAAAAAATTTTTGATACAGAAAGGAGAACTGAGACTTGAAAATGATCATTTCAGGCTCTAAGGAATTCACTAAAAAATAAGAACCATTTTAGCATTAGTATGACTAATACTAAAGCAGAGGTTCTGACTGGCACTACAAAACAACAACAGCAACAACAACAACAACAAAACAATAACCTGGGATTAAAACACCACATTTGTAGTCACAATAAGGGTAGATCTAGTTAAGAGCTGCTTGTAACTGTAAACAAATGATATCTCTATGGTAGTCAAGTAAAAATAAACAAACAAACAAAAAAATAACTTTTAAAAAGAATTTGAGTGTAATGGTAAAACTGCTGAAGGACACGGCAATTTGAAAGAGGTTAATGAAGAAAAGTACACTAAATTAGGGAAACTCATAATCTGAAAATTATAACTGGAAAGAAGACTGTTAACAAATTTAAATTGACAATTTCTTAATTGTGTTGTGCCCTTCTACAATGACTTGAACTCACAGTTCCCACAGTTTGAGGGGCATTAGACATGATCCTCTTCTACCTTTATCTTCTACTTCCAATATGCGCTGTCTCCGTGTTTCATTGGGTCAACCACATTGTGAACTCCTAGCTTTTACTGGTTTCAAAAAAAAGAAAATTAAAATTACCTTTTTAAAAATCATATTCACAGTAATCATTATGAGCAATGAAGATTTTATTACAGATTTCAAAAAATTTGAGGGGTGTGGCATGGCTCCAATTTTAAAATTTATCCTCCAGATACCATTTTTCTCAAAATTTCTCTGACAGGAATGGAGTTTGGAGGTCCTGACTTTGACCCTTCTCTAGCCTGCACCTCATCTAGTCTCCCAACCTGCTAACCGCTCTTGCTTTTCACTGACCTCCTCTTCTCATTTTCTTCTCCCTCCATCTCTGGAAAGGCAAAATGTCTCTTGTCTCAAGTTTAACAATATAGTGATTGTCTTGTTGTTGAGATGTTCCTAAGGTCTCATCATCCAAACCAAGAGATTACTCAAGCCTTGTTCTCCCCCAATACCTCTTAAGTATAGTAAAGGGGGAAAGGATGGAACAATAGTCATAAATGATCAAACAACTCTGGTCAGCCATTGATTTAAAAAGCAATATACATTTAACACCAATTTAGATAACATATGATTTGTCCTGTGTATTTCATACTCATAGTCGTTTTAAAACCAAACTACTTATATGTATCCAGGTCACATGAATTTGAAGGTTCAGTAAGCAAAATCCTTCATACACAATAATAAAGTACATGGCATATGGAGCTATACAGCATCGTTCAAATTCTGTCTTCCCCACTACCTTAGGCAAGTTACTCAACCTCTTGGCCTCAATTTCCTCAAATGCAAAATGGAATGCTAATAATTACTTTCACCTCCTAGAGTTATAGTATGGGTAAACTGAACTAATATAAGTAAATTCCTTAGAACACTGCCTGGCACACAGTAAGTACTGAATAATGTTGGCTCTTTATAGAATTATCTTCACCTACTCCAGAAGGCAGTGGTATCTTTCTTCCTTACATCTCCTCTTAAGCACTTGCTAAACTTGCTGTTTTTACGATTTGTCAATTACTAATATGCAACTATGAAAAAACTCATACATCTATAATATAATAGAATACAACTTACATGCATATCTTAATTCAATGGTTCATATTCAACTATCTTTTCTAGACTATAATCTTCTTATAGACACTGACTGCATTTTAGCATATTTGTATCTGCCTTAGTTCTCAACAGAGTAACTTTCTCATAATGGGGACTTAATATTTACTAGTTCAAACACCAACTGTAATAAAACCAATGGTGTGTCAACATATTTCTATGTAAGTTCATTACACCATATTGGAGAATCACCTCAAAACCCTATTAATCAACTAATATTTGCCTTCTCCCTCTCCATTACTACAGATATTCCAACTTCTATTTATATGGGCTTTTCATTGTTCCTACAGAAATTCAAGGCAAAAAAAGGTGGGGGGAGGTAAGGGGAGCTAAATAAATGTCTCATGAAGTTGCATCTATATCCATGGTAAAGAACACATTTCTATATTTTTTACTTTCCAGTAATTTTGTTTTCTAGGATATTTCCTGTGTAAAATACGCAATTATAAAAGAATACTTTTAGCTGCTATTTTAAAATCTATTGAAGAATGTGGACACATTTTAGGATGAGATTTTTATCTCTTGAGTTTTTTGTTTTACTTGAAAATTACTTAATTCATATGTAGCTGGGGGTTGGGGCAGGGTTAATTTGTATTCGCCATTTTATCTATTTTTCATGGCAATGAGAAACTCAAGGATAGAAACTACTTTCCAGACATTTAGATCAAAATATGTCTTCATTGCTCTGCCCATGTATCTCTTTCTTTTTTTTTCTTTTTATGTGTATTTCTTTACTTTGAGAAAGAAAGAGTGTGCATGCACATGAGCGGGGGAGGGGCAGAAAGAGAGCATCCCAAGCAAGCTCCACGATGATAGCGTGGATCTCACAAACTGTGAGATCATGAACTGAGCCAAAATCAAGAGTCCGGTGCTTAACTGACTGAGCCACCCAGGCACCCCTCATGTATCTCACTCTTAATTCCCGTGTGTATACACACCCTACCTTAAAACAACTTCTCAGACACACAAGAGTCCCATTTCATGAATTAAGTGAAGTTAGCCAAAGGGAAAAAGAAGAGGCAATATTAGGTCTGATTCTTTTTGGATCACAAAATCTAAGGCTTGGGCTGCTTCCAAACACCTGCACCTAACTAACTAGGAGAGCAGGGACATGTTTCATGGGTCCCTAACCAACTACCTCTTAATGAAATAAACATTATCATTTTCATGAGATAATTTTCATGGAAGTGCACTTGGCAAAGAAATGGCACATATAGAAAATAAAATTAATGACATATTATGCATCTTTGCATCCATGAATAGAAATATATATCAGGTTATAGAGAAACAGACATATACAACCTGTCTTCTAGAATAGTAGTTAACATCCAACAGTATCTAGAGGAACAGTGAAAACAAATAACAACAAAACTGCATAATCTATGCTTTAACACAAGCTAAAATGGAGCTCATATGTTACATCGTAAGACCAGCATCCATCAACTTGACTCCAACACCCACACCCCAGGTATCCATGTGCAGTAAATTATATACATACAATCTCCTTTTTAGTAAGTATAATAACAGAACGGAGGTGGAAGTCTAATACTAAGAGAGGAGAAGGATGGCAAAGATGCTGTCATCTTTGCTTCCAACAGAATTTTGTTCTATGTTTAAATTCCTATGATTAGTGGGGTGGGGTCTAAAAATAGTTAAACTCTTTTGCATAAAATATTCTGTAAATTACTGGACCCAAGAAGAGATTCTCTTAGACTTCAATTTTTAAAATGTTGAGGCATAACATTGATGAAGAGGTTATTCTTCCAACTACTTTCAGAAGCTTACAATAATTTAGCAGCTCAAGGGCTATAGCTTGGCAAGTGTCTGCAGGTATTTTTCTTAGAAAGTAGTGCTCTCATGATGGAAAGTGGCAAATGAGCTTTTTCAGGCAGTAATTCTATATCCTTCTGAGTTAGAACATAAGCATATAAAAACAGTCATCAAGTAACAACTATATCTAGAATGTGGACATTTTGAAGCACCAGCTTGGAAATATATGGAGATAACTGAGCAATACATAGAGAGTGGTGGAGATCCTGCTATTATACGGATAGAGGCTAGCATATCAGCAGATATTGGGTTAAATGTATACTGGAGTTTTGGAAAGCTAATAAATGAAATCAACCCTCACCCCCGCCCCCCCACCACCGCCAACTTCAGTAATAATAGAAGGAGGGATAGAAGGAGG